GGGCTCCTGGGTCTTGGGAGGAGCTGGGGCGGGGTGGGTAGGGAGCACCCCGCTCTTAAGTCCCTCCTCTTGGTTGGCTTTACAGAGGACTATGAACAGCTGGTAGAAGACATTGTCCGGGATGGCCGGCTCTATGCCTCCGAAAACCACCAGGAGATTTTAAAGGCAAGTGACTAGGAGCGGCAATATCGATGGTGGAACAACTCCGAGAGCATACATGAGTATTCTCGCGGGATAGGCCCAGTACCTCGGGGAGGAAGGTCCTGTTACCATCCCCACTTCACAGATGAGAACACTGAGGCATAGTGGGGAAGCTATGATTCGAGCCCAGGCCCACCGACACTGCCTTACACCCTGGAGGTCCTTGCAGGAGAAAGGCAATGGACAGGGAGGGGTTCTAAAGCAGGCACGGGGGTGGGGTGGCAGGCTGGTGTTCAGCTCTGGGTGTGCCCCGTTTTGCTCAGTGGCAGGTGCCTGTCAGACACAAGCGGGGATGTTGCATTGGGGCTTGTGTCCCCCCGCCCCCCCCCTGAGGCCACTCTGCTCCTGCCCTTCCCCACAGGACAAGAAGCTCATCAAGGCTTTCTTTGAGGTGCTGGCCCATCCCCAGAACTACTTCAAGTACACAGAAAAGCACAAGGAGATGCTGCCAAAGTCGTTCATCAAGCTGCTCCGCTCCAAAGTCTCCAGCTTTCTGAGGCCCTACAAATAGTGTCCCCAGATGCACAGACCCGGTTTTGAAGCTCCCCAACTACTTGGCCCTCAGAGCCGGCAGCTCCCACCCACAGACAAGGAACTCGCCTCCCCCTTCTCCTTCTAGGGAGAGAGAAAAGTCACTCTACAGACTGGGTGCTCCCTGCCTGTCTCCAGGTTCCTCTCTCGCGCTCTCCTGTTTTCCTCCTTCAACTTGCTCCTGGAAAAGCCATTCAACAGCTGCTTCTGTTCGTCCCTGAGGAACAGGGCCTCTCCCCAGCCAAACTGCCTGTTTCACCAGCCCACTCACGCCCCTACCCCAGCACGTTGGGGGGTGCTGGAGAACCATAGAAGAAATGGGTCGAGTGGGGAGAGGGCAGGCTTCTGCCACGGTAGAGTTGCAACCTTGCTAGTCAGTAGCCCTACTATCCCTCAGCTGGCTGTGTCCCCTGTGGTGATTCTAATAGGCTTCATACCAGCACCCTGGGGCACATGGCCTGTAGGCCCTAGACCACCCACACAGTAGCTCTTCTTGTCTGTACAGCATTAACAATTCTTCCTCCTCCACATGCCCGCCTGGGGTCTGCCCTTAAGGGCTTCCAGCTGGCCACCCCAACTGGGGCAGTGGACAGCAGCCTAATGAGGGAGAGCAGCAGGCATTACCGTGGGGATAGTGCCAGAAACCAAGGTATAAAAGCACCGCCAAAAACGAGAGAATGCATCTAAAGGGCTTGAATACAGAAGGATCAACTTGTCTTCCCTGGCCCAGCCACTTCCCACACACCACCCAAGTGCTCCCTGGGGCGCCCTCCTCCCCTTGCTGAGTGCTGTCCTTAGAGAAACTGACCAGAAGCCAGCCTGGGCCTCGCCCCACAGTTGTCCTTCTCTCGTCATCCCAGGTGGCTGATGGGCGCCACCAAAGAGGGTCACTCAACAGCCAGCCCTGGGCCGCCTAACTCCGGCCCCGGGGAGCGAGTTAAGTGTGCACAAGGGAGCCTTCGGTCCCCCCTGAGAAGTGCAATCATGAGTCTGTCTCCATGGTCTAGATGCAGAGGTTTTTGTTTTCTGGGTATTTTTTTTTTAATCTATTAGAATAACCCTATTTATAGCTGCCGAGAAAGAAGAGAGTGTGTTTGGAGTGGAAGACCAAAGGTTTTGAATCTCGTGCAGCTGGCGTCCTGACACATCTAATGTCTCATTCCTCCACCAGTGACCACCCGGACTCCTAGAGCCCTTGGCTGAGGTAAACCAGGGCTACAGCTCAATGTGTAGGGCAGGAATCTGGGGGAATCAAGTGATGGGGCAGGAAGACGAGAGACCTGGGTTCGCTAAGCCAGTGCTGCCATCCCTGTGCCTTTCCATGGACTCAGCGTGGACCTGGCTGATTGTGGAGGCCAATGGAACTGGTCAGGGATTCTCTCCCCCAAGTGGAGAACACCTCCACCTTTACCCTGCTGCCCCCTGTCTTCCCCTGACGTGTGCCCCTCTCCAGCCTACTATGGTGGAACAGGCTCTGATGAAACCACCAAGGGATGGGCGTCTCGGGCCGAGTCTAGAATCAAGGCTGTGGGAGCCAAGATTAGGACAGGTACCCAGGTAATGAGGCAGGTGGAGGCACTGGGTGTTGGCTTGGCTTGGGTCACTGCCACCACCAACCTGGCTGCCCTTCCCTCTCAGAACTGACTTCACACTTAGCTTTCTCCAAGTACAGCCTTTCAGGAAGCTGTGCCCAACCTGATGTGGCACTCTACGTAGCTTCAGCCCAAATGCTGCCTATTAAATCATTTTCCATCTCCTCTTTCCAGGACCCCCACCCCCCAAAAGTGGTAGTGCTAGTCAATTCAGTCAATGGTACCTCTTAATTCTTAGGGTTCATTACTAGTGACTGTCTCAGGCTACTGTCCCAAGGGACTTTAACACTAAGTTAAAGGAGCTTGGCCCTACCCACTGCCATGGAGTGGATTCCGAGGCACAGTGACCCTGAGAAAGGATCTGGAATCCTCTGCAGAAACAAGAGAAGTTTCATCCCCTCCCAAGCAGTGGCTGGTGGCTTTGAACCTCCAACCTTGTGGTTAGCAGCCCAACATCTAACTCCTTCAAACTGCCTCAGCATTGTCACCCACTGTCTTTGTGTCTGAGTCAAGGCTTTGCTATGGAAATGCAGAATGACAGCTTATAAGAAGAGGTCAAGAAAACTGCCTCAGCATTGTCACCCACTGTCTTTGTGTCTGAGTCAAGGCTTTGCTATGGAAATGCAGAATGACAGCTTATAAGAAGAGGTCAAGAAAATGCCTTTCTTCATCTCTCTCCGCCAGGCACTGGGATTCCTGATTCCACTCTCCCAGCCATTCCCACGTCTCTGGGAAGGCCCAAACCAGGTGCTTCCCATTGATGCCATCAGGGTCTGGCTTCACCAAGGGGATTCAGAGTTCATGTTAAATGAAGTGAAAGGAGAGTGGAATCTTCCCATGAACTTGAAGCCCCCTTGTACACATGCACACTTCTCCAACTAGCTCGTTTCTGCACGAGTCCCGCAGTGGGGACCACCAAGGCCACTCAGCTCTCCAGGGGGCTCGTGGTGAGCAGGACAGGACCTGACTGATGTCTACCACATCGAAAGTCCATCTTCCAAGTTGGGGGTTAGGAAAAAAGGCAGTTTCTGTGGAACCGGAGGAGGAAGTTCATCTGGGAGCATCAAAGTAGGGGCTCAGTGGAGTGGACATGGGGAATCCACACTCAGGGGTCTCTAGGCCTTCACAGGCCAGACAGAGTAAGAGGTATTTGGCCAGTGTAGGGAAGCTGTGGTAAATGGGAATCCCCTGGAAACCAGCCCGAGGCCACTCTCTAGGCAGTGGTCACAGGTCATGGTGCTGTCCATTACCCTGAGTGAGGGCTCCAAGTGCAGAGGACACACCAGAGACGCTCTTATTCTCAGCAAGCCCTCAGTCCCTCTTGTCGGCCTGTTAGCAGACCAGGCCTACTCCGTAACAGAACTGGGTCCGGACTTGAGCTGCCCACCCCACCCCACGACACCCCCAAATGCGACGCTGGGCTGGGCCTGCTGTGACGTCCCCAGGGCTTGGGTCTTTGGGGTGGTGGCGCAGAGAGTTCCGTGACCCAGTGCTGGCCTTTAGCTTTCATGAGCTCTCTATCTGAGAAGAGCTTTGTCTGTGTGAGAATCTCCATACCTGCTGCTTCAGCTCAATACAGCCGCCTCCCCCGGGGGAGGAGGGAGGCACAGAGTGAATGAGGACGGGCAGAAACGAATGTTTGTCTGCTTTCCTTCTGGGGCACAATCCAGCACAGCGAAGGCAAAACACCGCAGCCGTGTCCTTAGCTGTGAGCTGTCTTACAGGTAGCACACCTTGCCCTTGGGCGTTGTGTGGACTAGAAAAACTCTCAGAAACGCTGTCATTATAGGGAGTAGAACCCCCACTTCTGTTTAGCCGCTTATCTAGACAACAGATGGCAGCAGTTCGGTCGGACGGAAGTCCTTACCCTGTGTGTGGAACTGGAGTTTCGGAGACTCAGCATCACCATGTGTGAGGCTTTGTCCTTTTTGATTTTTGAATGCAAAAGAAATCTCAAAATACTGTGTATCTGTCTTCCACCGCTGCCGATAGAGTAAACAGCTACAAGAGCCACAATAAACAGCAAATGATGCAGTTTGTAGACGATTTTGCACTTGGGGGAAAAATATGTATCTGAACTTGTAAAAAGAAATGTTTGGATTTTGTATCATCATTTTTTATTATTATTAAAATACTAAATGAAACTACCTGGTATTCTTTCCTCTGGTAGCTAGGAAAAGCCTTCAGCTGACGCAGGGAGCCTGCAGGACAGGGCTGCTTTCAGAATCTGAAAAGATGTGCCCCTTCGGTTATCAAGAATTAGCCTTGGGGCACTGGTGGGTGAGCGGGGAGCTGCTAGCCAGAGTCAGCAGTGCAAACCCACCGCTGCTGCATGGCGACATGAGGTCATCTGCTCCCATAGAGGGACAGCCTCGGAAATGTGCACAGGGTCATCGTGACTCAGCACCCACTTGATGGCAATGGTGGGTTCCTCACCCTGTAATGCATCCCCCAGAGCTGGCCGGGACACAGGGTCTCAGACACCTCCCTAACGAAGACGTCCCACTCTAGTAAAATAGACACCCTGAGCCGCCCAAGCCCTTTTTGGTTATTGTTCTGTAAGTACAGTACACGGTTGACCACCAAATGGTGGAAAACCATTATACAGATCACTCATTACCATGATCACTACTATGACAGGGCCCAGGAGAGGAGCCCCCAATTTCATCAGTGAATGGTCTCAATAGGTCTGCTTAGAGATGACACATGAAACCTTGATTGGGTTTACTGTCTACATGATATGGTCACTTAAGAATACAACTTGAGGAGCAGTGGCATATCGGCCTGATTAAAAAAATGTTGACTTGGCCCAGCAGAATCCTGGACTTGCCCTTTTGGATACATTATAAGGAGGACAAGTGTATTCATCCTATAAACATTTCCTGAGCTCTTGGTACCTGTGAGGCTATCACAGCTTGAAGTAATAGCCATGCTCAAGATCCGTACTCACGTAAGATCTTGAAGATCATCCCACGTAGATTTCCCAACAAGGACGATCCAGTTCATTTGGTGGCTATTGTGTAAACAATGTAAATGTGTAAACTGATTTAATGCTATTGTTTTATATATGAACTTCCCATGAATTCGATACTTTTGCATGTACTGACAATCACACCTCTAGACCTGCAAGGCTGAAGGCCATACCCAGGGCCATCGCAACCACAGCACTCTAGGGACTTCTCATTTAATTTCTCTCTCAACTCTCTCTTATGCTGAAAACACCTTCCTTCTTTCCCGCTCAGATACCACACTCGCTGCCGTTGTCTATTCTGATTCGCAGTGACCCTAAAAAGTCTGTACATTTTTACAGGAGCAGATACCCTCTCCCACCTCTCTCTCCAGGAAGAGCCCTGGTGGTGTAGTGGTTACCCATTGGGCTTTGAGCCACATGATCAGCAGTTCGAAACCACCTCTGGAGAAAAGTCTCAGAAACCCACAGGGGGTTGCTGAGTCAGCATTGACTCGATGGCAGTGAGTTTGATTTGATTTGGCCTCCCAAGGAGCAGGTGGTGGGTTTGAACCACTGACCCTAAGGTTAGCAATCCAACTTACTCAACAGGACCACCAGGGCTCCTTCCTTCCTAGTACACCTCCACTGGAGCCCCAAAATCATGTACTGTTGGGACTGCTCAAAAAGTCTCTAATGTACATGAAGACTGTCCAAAAGGACTTTCCAAGGGGTACATAGGGAAGGCAATCCATCTAAGCCAGAGGTTCTCAACCTGTGGGTCACGACCCCTTTGGGGGGGTCAAACAACCCTTTCACAGGGGTCACCCAATTCATAACAGTAACAAAATTACAGTTATGAAGAAGCGAAGATAATTTTATGATTGGGGGGTCACCACCACATCAGCAGCTGCATTAATGGGTCGCGGCATTAGGAAGGTTGAGAACCACTGCTCTACGCTGTGTTTAAGGATCCTCAACTTCCGCATGAAGTCTTTTCTAAAACTAACCTGGGTGAGAACCACTCGGCATTTTCATGCCTGCTCTCTACCCCACCTCCCATTTCACCATAGTCCCCTCCCCATCCAGGCCTAGTCCCTCCCTTGTTGAGTCTTGATGCATGGTCCCGGGGGTAAAAACCTGGGGAGTAGTTAGAAAGCGGTTCCCCTCCCACAAATCATCCTGTTACAGTTGGGCCTAAGCAGCATGGGACTCGGCCACGTTGGGATGACTGGAAATAAGAAAGCATACAACACTTTCTTCCATCCTACAACTACTGTCCAAGAACGCATCCCTTTTGAGGTAGAGCTCCCAGAAAATAACGCAAATGCTGGGAAAGGCTTTTTCACCTGAAGGCAAGCAGTCACTCTTGGTTCTCAACACTCACCCGAGAGCTGTAATCAGCGGGAAGGAAACATGCATCTTCTAAACGTTAACTTCCCGCAAGCCTCTCGGGGATAGTGCTGAGCGCTGAAGCCCTCACCGTACACTGCTAAAGCGACTCCTTTCAGACTAAGTAAGCTGACTTAATACATTCTTTGGTTTCACCTAAGTAAATGTTTAGTTTCTACCTTCTATTCAAAACAAAACAAAAACCCAACCGCAGAATCGATGTTGCAGCTTATCATTTTCAACCATCAGGTAAGCCGTCATGAATAACTGAAGGAATTGGGAGCAAACAGCATCCTTCTCAATAAAATGTCTATGATTCAGCTGATATAGTAAGAATGACTATGCTTTTGTTGTTTAGTAAACTACACACAGTTACTGTAAGGGTAACTGAGTTCCTAAGTGTCTGAACAGACAATGCACTTCAGTCTCCAACATTTCTTTCAGAGAGCGTGTACTGTTGGTGCCCCCCCCCCCCAAGGCCTGCCTTACGAGGAACGTCAGAAAGCACTGCTACAAAATCACGGTACAATGCTTCACTAAACGATCATAATGGGAAGCTACTGCCCTTCACCTATGCACTTCTGAGAGCGATGTTTCCGTGGCTCTCAGCCCACCCCCACCCCCATCCCCGAGACGTCTAGGCTCTTTGACTTACCTCAAGTCAAACAGCAGTTTGGGGATTCTTGAGGGGCTCAAGTCATGTTCTGTGGTTAACGGAAGTTATTCCCCAGGCTGTCCCCATATTCCATGCCAAACCTACGGTGCTGCTTGCTAACACATGGTCAATGACATGCACTTGGAGGTCAGCTGCTTAAAGGTTATCTGCCTGAAGGGCATATGCCCTCTAGAGCAACCAGACCCTAGTCTGCCCCACCCTGTGTAGAGCTCACTCCCTGCTGTTAAGGATCATGGATTGTTCCCCTGAGGGAGAGCCCAAAGACACTAAGGTCGAGCCAACTCAGGGATGACCAAGGTTAGGCTGCCATCTTGACTCTAGAGGCCGCCCATCTTGTTCGTGTAAACCTTCCAGGCAAATGCATGCCCCGAGCATTTGCATGCTTTATCTTGTCTGATGGCTCTTTAATTTTACCCCTCAAATACACAACCGCCCCTTGGACCCGTGCAATTGTGGGGGCTGGTACCCCACAATGTTCCTTTTAAATCTTTGCGGAAGGGGCAAGGGCAGGATGGACACCCTCAATGAATGAGCAGGTGCATTGGCTACATGGAAAAAATTCTTCACTGCTGGTTTTCAATTTTTTTAGTAACCCCTCATGAACATCCCAGGTCCTTTATGGAAATAGATAAAAATGACCCCTGTATGATCCCCCCCCAAAACCCAGAACCTTCTGAACTGATGATATATTTTTTAAATTTTTTATAAGTCATTTTATTGGGGGCTCTTACAGCTCTTACAACAATCCATACATCCATTGTATCAAGCAGTGATGATCTCTTGACCTAGAATTAACTGGTCCTGAAGATCCCTCAGAAGCCACAGTTTGATGGGCCTTTTTTGATTGACAGCCACGACTATAGAAACATGTTTTGTGTGGAATAAAACCATACACATGATACTTTGTGACTTCATATTAAAATTTTGCACCGCAGACAATAGTTTGTAATAGAAAATGGAAACTGTTTTTCAATGTGCATCAAAAAATTACTGTTGATACTGCATTATGTTAAAAATGTTCTAGTGTACCTGAAAGTATTTCTTTGATTTTTTTTATGCATGGAAAAGTACACTATATATTATGACACTTTGTAATGTTGGATCTGAACCATATCTAAAGACACAACTTAAAAGAGTCTTAGGAACGGAACTTGTTTGTAATCAATAAAAGACTTTAAAGCACACAAATATACTAATTAGAATAAAATTTGATAGCAGAAAAATTAGAAGCTCAGGGGGAGCGGGGAGGAAGGGGAAAAATGAGGAGCTGGTACCAGGGGCTTAAGTGGTAAGCAAATGTTTTGAGAATGATGAGGGCAACAAATGTACAAATGTGCTTTCCACAATGGATGTATGTATGGATTGTGATGAGTTGTATATGGCCCTAATAAAATGACTGGGGAAAAAATAGAAGTTTTCAAAATTATAAAAGTTTTCTAATTCCTAAAGAGCCTGCTTGTATATTTTAAAACAGATAACCCACCGCCACTGAATTGATTCTGACTCATAGCAATCCTATACAGGGTTTCCAGGGCTATAAATACAAATCCACCATAGAGCGAGCTGTGGTTTCAAACCGCCAACCTGGTTAGCACTCCCACCTTTATCCTACAGCACCACTAGGGCTCCTAACTGGATGATGGCAGATAGCAAATATTTACAGTATTTGGAGTCTACTGGATACATTTTAGAATGATGTACTCATTTTATTGTAAAATGTCAATATTTTCAATAAGCCAGAAGATCCATCTTAGCTAGCTATTCTAACTTATGAGGGAGAAGTTAGGTAGGAGGGAAAAGTTAGGTATTACCTGAAAGATGAAAATAAACCCAAACCAACCTTGTTGCTATCCAGTCAGTTCTGACTCATGGCAACCCTTTGAGGACACAGTTCAATTAATTGCTCTCAGTTTCTAGGCTGTAATCCTGACAGTTGGCAACCACCACATCTGTCTCCCACAGAGCATCTGGGTGGGTTTGAAGTACCAGCTCTGCTGTTAGCAGCCAAGTGCTTAACTTGCACTTTGAAGGATTATTCATCAGAGGCATGGGCCATCAAGTGTCATTCACTACCGACTTAAGCTGGGAATCTACCAGTTAAGACCTCTTACTCCAGAGTCTCACCTCTGGAAAGAGTGTGCTATTTTTTTATGCGGGGAGAGAGAGGCAGTCTGAGGTTGAAAAGCGATGAGATCCTTCTGTTAATGCTCTTCAGATGGGATGAGAAAATCAGGTTGTCTGATTTTAGCATATTTAGCTCCCATAGACCCCAGACCCAGTATTTGTTAGTGTCCCTCATCTATGGAAATACTAAATTTTTTTTACACTAAATTATTTTATTTTGTTGGGGGAGAGGGGGTGGAATACCTAAAAAACGTAAAAATGTGAAAGTCTAGGAGGGTTAGGTGGGGAGGAGAAGGAGGAGAAAGGGGATCAATTTACAACACCCTCAACCACTCCAACCCCCAGGAGACAGCGGACAGTGTAAAATATGAAAATAATTGATAAATTATCAAGGGTTCACGAGGGTGGGAGGATGGGGGAGGGAGAGGGAAAAAAGAGGAGCTGATACCAAGGGCTCAAGAAGAAAGAAAATGTTTGGGAAATGATGATGGCAACATAGGTACAAACGTGCTCCATACAATAGCCGTATGGATTGTTATAAGAGCTGTAAGAACCCCTAATAAAATGATTTACTAAAATAAAAATTTTAAAAAAGATTTCATAAAAGAAAAAAATAAAAGGGTAAAGAGGAAATTTCCCCTCACTCCTCCAGGCACCCAGCCCCCCTCCTTCCCTTTGTGTCTGTTGTTTTGTTTTGCTTTAAACCAAAACCTCCCTCGAATTTTCCCTCAGATTAAAAGCAAAACAAATCATTTCACGGAAGGGAAGCAGTGAAAGGGTTTGTGGTTTGTTTGTGCATGCTGCGCCCGCGGACTGGAGACTGGACTGGAGCTAATGGACGGGAACCGAGGGCAATCAGGGGGCGCCTCCCTCAGGACGCTGGGCCCCCAACTCTTCAATAACGTCATTTCCATAAGCTACACATCCTTGCAATGGCTTCCTTCAGAGCGTTGGCTTGACCCCGTGGGCCCAGAACGCCCGCGGCCTGCGCACCGGCCAACGCTGGCGGCCGGCCAGGAGGAAGCGGCGAGCCCGGAGCCCTGAGGGGCGCGTCGGCAGCCCCCGGGCACGTGCTGGGACCCCGACCCCCACCCGCCAGTCGACGGCTCCCCTCCCGGCCTGCGCCTCCCGCCGGGGGCCCGGTTCTGGAAACGCGCACCTCGCCGGCAGGCCGCCGCCGCCGTCACGCTGCGTCGACCTCAGCGCCTCGGGCACCTCCCCAGTTCCCTTCTCGGGGCTCCGGTACGCGGGAGTCCCTCCCGGGACAGGTAGCGGCCTCCGATTGCTATGACAACGATCCGACTAGGGACCCAAGCCCTAGCTCCGTCGGGACGTCATGACGTCACCGCGACGCTCCCCCGGGCGCGCGGCCACGCGGGGCGTGCGTCACCCGGCCAGGGAACGAGGCCGATCTCCGACAGGTTCCGTTTCAGAGCCCGGGGGTGGGGCCGCCGGGGCCCCGGAACCCGGATAAGGAGCTCACTCAAAGCGGCGGAGGCGGGGCCGGGGCGGAGCATGCCCTGTATTTTCTACACGGCTTCCGGGGCCGCGTAGCGGCGCGGCGAGAGGCGGGGGACGTGCGGCCGCCCGGGAACTTGGATGTCTCGCGAGGCAAGCTGCGCGCGGGCGGACGGGCGGGCTATGGCGCAGGCGGGTTGCGGGGCCGGCGCTGGTGGCGGGGCCAGGTGCATGGCGGTCTGTCGGCGGAGTCGGCCTCGGGGGCTGTCAGGTTGGTGGCTGCGGGAGGAGGGGGTCCACCGGGCCTTGGGCGGGGGCAGGGCCCCGGGAAGGTCCCGAGCCCGAGCGCCCGCCTTCCTCCAGCCCCGGCCGGGCGAGCCAAAGAGCGGCCTGGCCCTACCCCACTCAGGGTCCAGCCCGAGTCCCTGCCCTCCCCTCCCCTCTCAGGATTCCCAAACCCCTCTTCCTGACCGCACCCCCACCCACTGACCTACGAGCCCACCAGGGAACCCTGTTCTTATTTCTGGACTCTGCTAAGCCGGCAGTCCCCCCCGCCATTGCCCAGGAACGCACCATCCTAGTGACTCCCCGACTTAACAGCCCGGTGACTCACAGGACCCCGAGATTTCCGCAAGCATTCCTCGTGACCCCACTCCACCCCGGGCTCCTCGCAAACTCTGAGCCCTCAGACGCTTTCTGGCAACTACTAAGCCCAACTCCGGTAGTTGCTCACCCAGCCATGCCCAGTACCCTCAGGGTATGGTTGATCATTCTTTGCCCTTTGGTCCCCATCCCATGCTCTCCCCACTGTCATCCTGAAGTCGCCCCCCACCCCCGTTCTCGCAGTGTTAATCAGCACACACAGCTACCCACCACCGTGCTAGTGCTGTAGAGATGGATATGAAGTCGTAGTCTTTTGAAGGGTTCTACTACGCTGGGGATTGAGTTCCAGCTCGGTAATTGTGCTTGGGGGAATCTTGGCGCAGCCTCCCCCGCCCCCAGGCCTCAGTTTCTCATTTGAATAATAAAGAGCTTGGGCGAGGCTATGTCAGAATTTTCCTCCCAGCTGTGAAAATCGGCCATTCCCAGTCAAGTTAGTTCTTGTTTATAACCCCACCCCTGGGTCCCCTTGCCTCCTACACCGTGTTCCCTGGTCCCCATTCCCCTGACATTCCTTTAAGAGTCCACACCCATTTTCCTTGATGGAACCCCTTCAGTGTAAACGTCTGCAGTGCCAAGTAGCATGTCCAAACTCTCAGCTCCACATGTGCTAAGGAAGAGATCGCAGTGTCTGCGAGAATACATGTTAAGCATGTGGCACCATAGCTGGCACATGGGGAGCTCTTAGGTGTACGCTGCTGTTAGTACTGAGCAGCTTCCTCGGGCCTTACTCTGTCCTAAGGAGGCGGCAGTGACTTGATAGCCCATTCCTTGTGTTGTCTTTCCACCTCTGTCTTCTTGGACTCTCCACCCTCTGTTCATCTCATCTCTGACCTTCTCACATCTCAGGGGCTTTATGCTGAGACCCCTTTAATAATAATTGGCACTTGCTGGTTCCCTAGGGTGTGCCAAGCTTTGTGTAATGTGAGAGAGCCTCAGAACCTCTGTGGGAAAATGGGCTTGAAAGATGATGGGATAAATGGAGGTCACTGGTTAAAAATCCCCAGAGCTTTTTATATCTCTCACCCAGCATGCCCCTGCCTCGCTCTTGTTCGTTTTTAAATCGATGAAAACATGACACAGAGTTCCTAAGTAGCAGAGCTGGGATTTGAACCTACAATCTTCAGTTGCTATGCGCTTCACTACCTTGCTGCATGGCCTCTCTTGCCTCCAAAACTGCCTGGTTTTCCATGTCATTCTCAGCCTCTTGTCCCTTATTTTCTAGTACTTCCTAAGCCTGACATCAATTCATCCCCTGAGCTCCAAGGTTTTTATTGCCCTTGGCCCTGTAGCGTGGTGTCTCCTCATCCCCTTGTTCATGACTTTTGGCCCCACATTCCCTGACCCTCCTATCCCATCATACGGCTCTGTGTCCTTTGTTCTGGGATCCTCTCTTCCCACCAGTCCATGGAGCGCCCCTCATCTCAAGCACTCTAGGGTACCTCCCACCTCACTGGCACTCTTACCCCATGATCATGCATCCTGTTCAGTCTTCACCTCCAGGAACCCAGAAACTCCCAAACCTTCTACCCCAAACCTCCCCTCACCATCAGGTGCTTTCTGACTTGGCGACCTTGTGTAAGTTTTCTGAGACCAAATCTTTATGGAGGCAGACAGCCTCATCTTTCTCCCATGGAGTGGCCAGGTGGGTTTGAACCACGTACCTTGTAGTTAGTCGCCTATTGCCGAACCTATGGTACCCTCTGGGCACCTTCCAAACCCTCTCTAGTCCAATAGGATGTCACTTTATGATCCCCACCCCCTTAGTGCTCTAGCTTATCCCCACCCACATCCTGTTACCTGAAACCTTCATCTAAATTATCCTTCATCTAGTGACCTGCTGCTGGGCCGGCCTAGGTGCACTGAGCCCTTTCTGTCCCCGCATGAACTCTCCTTCGCAGCCTACACTCCCTCCCATTCTAGGATCCTTCCTCTTCGTAGCGCTTTCCCAGTTTCCAGGGAGACCGGACCTCTGATTCACTGCTCTCTTGGCCTTCCCTGTCTTCAGGCATTTCCTTTTCAAACCAGAATGGTCTTCGAGCCTCTCCCTCTCCCCTTCTCCATAGCGCCTCTCTTTGTCAAAACCCTTCTTGTTTGTTTCCCAAGCCTCACCAACCTCGGGAACAAATTGGTGCCCATGTAGACCTCCCTTCCACCCCAGTTCTGCCCTCCACTCCCCTGTGCCTCTAGCTCCAGGGCCCTCCTGCCTTTACATACAGCCCTGTGGAGCCAAACCTCATCAGCCTCCTTGGCTTGTCCAAAGAGATGCACTGTGCTTAGGGCACTTGTGGTGGTCTCTCAGCCCTTTAGGTTCTGCTGAAGGACCGTCTCCATGAGGCACTCCCAGGGGAGCCGCTGCTCTTCATCTAGCTGCTTGCTGTGCCTGCCCCGGGTAGAAGGCAGGCGTTGAGTGTCTGCCTCTGCACTCAGAATCAGCCTCATTGTTGCCCCAGTCCTGGGAGGACCTTCCTGACTCCTCCCACCCGAAGACTGGCTGGAGAACAGCAAACATGTCACGAGGGCCCTGCAATACTGCACTTCATTGGCTGGACAGCAATTAGTCCACAGCCTCGTCGCATGCCCTCCGACTCACAGCAGCCCTGTAGACAGAGTAGACCTGCCCGGACGGTCTCTGAGACTGTCAGTCTGCACGGAAGCAGACTGCCTCATCTTTCTCTCTGGGTTTGACCTGGTGGGTTTGAACTGTGAATTTTGGGGTTGGCAGCCGAGTGCTTAACTCCTGCACCGCCAGGGCTGCTTCTGCAGACTTCTGGAAGGGGAAAATCTCGTGGATTTTACGAAGGAGCCTTCGCCTCAGGCATGTTTAATCTTTCTTCCAGCACAGAGCACTGCCTTCCTGATGCACAGAGGCTGCAGTTGTATATCTCTCTTCTGTCATCTTAATCCCGCCCCTCGTATTTCCCAAGTAGTCAGTAAATGCATAACGGGGTTGCGGCAACTCCCTCTCTCAGCATCAGGTACTACTGAGTAAAAACGGTTCATGTACCTCCCTTCATTTTGAAGCCCCAATACCCTCTCCTTTCCAGTACCTTTCCCAACGGGATCATGGGTAAAAGCCCTCGATTTCAACAGGCTGGTTGGTGTCTAGACCATGGCTTTCTCGTCGCTCCTCACATAGGGCAGTGGATGTCAGGTGGCGTTGCTTACTGTGTTTCTGGGACCGCTGGAGAGTGGTTGACAGCGGTGCTGGAGGCCTGTGGTAACGAGGGCAGGATCTAACACCAACCAGTTCACCAAGCAGCAGGTGGGATCTCTATTTGATGGATGTTACACGGAAAATCAGGGAATAGAGGAAACCAAATGGGCCAAAGTTGGCAATTGTTGAAGTTAAGTCATGAGATCACCAAGGCTGCTGTTCTTTCTCCTGTTGTGTAGACTTGCAGATACCTTTGATTAAGAAGTGAAATAAAAACAAAGCAGCTAGGTGAGCTTGTGCAGATGTAGCCCTGCCGGTTGGGAAACACCTGAAAGCGCGTGGGCTGCTGTGGCTGAGACGGTTCTGGGAGGGGACGCAGTCTGTGTAGTGTTCAGCTGACTAGCTCTGCCCCGGACCACCCAGAGGCACCAGGACTGGCCCCCGGAAGGATTCTGTAGCTGGTGTCTGGGGGCGGTAACCTCCTGCCACAAGGACCACTTGCCCTGCCAGCTTCTACTTCACAGCCAGGTGGTTCCCTAATGGTAGAGGGCTGCCGCGGGCCTGAGCAGAAAGTGAGGCAGTGGATCTGGGGGCCTGGGCTGGCGGCGGCGGGAGCCCAACACTCCACTAGGGCCCTCATCTGCCCTACAGCCTCCAGATTACAGGGTAGAGATCCTCATCCATCCATTCCACAAATGCCAGGTGTCTGCCGCATGCCCTCTACTACTGTGGACTCTGGGAACAGTGAGCAGAGTTCCAGGACTTCAGGAACTCATCTGATGGAAGCTAGGCGAGGGAGGAACAGAGGAGCAATGGAAATGTGTTGTTGCCGTCGAGTCAGTCCGTAAGCATCGAGACCCGAGGGACAACAGAACAGGAGCAGGCCCAGTCCGGGGCAGGGCGCGCTTGCTTCTTTGCAGCCACTGTCGTCGCGCTGAGGGTCTTGCTCTTGGCTGATCATTTATAGAGTGCGGCAGCTGCCCTCTTCTCCTTTTGAGTCCGGCCCGTCGGCGAATGCAGGTCCTGGAGCTCCCCTCCAGCCGCATCACTGTGTCCAGCTCTGCTTCGAGGACGTCCTCAGCTTGTGAGTGCCTGTCAACCTGGGGGCTCACCGTCCAGAGCGCGATCTGACCGGTTCCGCTGCAAGTCCTTGGGTTTTCGTGGCTAAGCCTTCAGAAGTGAACGGCCTGTTCCTTTGTCCTAGTCCGGAGGCTCTACTGAAACCTCGTCACCTTGAATGACCCTGCCACATGTGAAATACCATGACATAGCTGCCGGCGTCCCGGCAACACACAAGCCTGGATGATAAATCGACAGGCAAATGATGGAATTGAAATGTGAAGGAGCTTCAACGTGTTTGTAGAAAAATTCTGTGATCTCTTAATTCCATTTTTCCACATACTTTGCGAACGCCACCCCCCCTTCTATATATTAAGAAAGATAAGGCAGCTGTG